TCTGAAATGCCATTTCCTGGACTTTGGGAAAGTTTTGACAGAATTCTGATGGTTAGAAAACAGCGTTTTAGCATGTCGAAATTTACAATTTGCTTGCAATTTGGTTGTACTAAATGGGGGAAAATTAAGGCGTATTTACTTAACTATACATTGGGGAAGTTGCAGGAAAGTATATTTATAATATGATTCTTTGCAGTTTGTTATGGATAATGTAACCGCTTAAAATTAATCAATTGTCATTATTTCAAAGGTATACTATTTAAAATGATAAAGGTCTGCATAATCTTGACAAAAGAATGGTTATTAGCAAATTATTGGGAGGGCTGCAGCCATGCACTAGAAATTTAGCTGATGATTATTTCCGACGATTATGTTTGCCAATCCCATTACAAACTAAATTTTTGATAAAAATTGTGTTATTGAACAAATTTAACCCATTAAGGCAGTACTTCTCATTATTTATTTTACAGGGGGGTGTTCAACCTCGTTCCCAGGCTCTTTGCTCTTGGGAAGCAAAGACCCTGGTCGGAACTGGTCACGTGACCCATAGAAAATTGATAGCCCAAGAGGGGGATGGAAAAGTCTCATATTACATGTTTCCACTTCCGCAGTTCGCAGTTCGATTGCAAGGAGTGGCCGTTCTGTACAATCATCTAATTCATCTTCGAGAATCATATATACCTCAAACTACTTGCTAAATTGGTTTCTGTTTGCTTTTAAATTATACAAACATGCTAAAATGCAGATTCTTATAGCAACAGAAAATTCAGGAAATCAAGCAACGAGAACGTATGACTGTACCGTCTGTACGCTTTGAAATATTTTTATTTTCTCGGGGTTCGCCGGTTCGGGCGTAGTTAAATTTCACGCGTACGTTTCTGTTTTGGCTCTGATATTTATAATATACTTATAATATGCCAATGAATTGTTCTGATATGGACACAGTATAAATTTTGTTAAACAGATGTCTCAAAATCGACTGTTTGTAGGTCGTAGGATTAGCGCCTTGCCGGTCTTAAACGTGACACATTTGGACACAAGCCAAATACACATTGAGTGTCCATTCTATTGATTCTAAAACTGTTTATAGATATATTGCTCTAGATTTTTTTTAAAAGGTCATCATCGTTTATATTAAACACCAGGAACTGAAGATAAAATATAACGTACAAAATTGTTTGAAATCGACAGTGCACAGCTGACATACGACAATTCACAACTGCATGAATTTCCTTTTTTGTCTGCACGAGTACCTGTTTGTTGAAGCCAAAATGTTGCACAGCATCTCCTATAAATTCTATCGCCATTTACCCTCTCCTCTTAAATGCAAAGGAATGACAGCAGAAAAGGTTTAGCAACGTGTTTTTTATTACATCTGGTATAAAGTGTCCTACGTTTTATCAGGGATACACATAATTCATGAACTGTATATGATGCACACGTACGAAGTCTCGCTTATATTAATGAGTTTTACTGTAACAAACCTTTTAAAGTTTCCATTGATTGATAGGTTGTTTGCCTCCAATATTTTTTGGTAAAACAGATTAAACTTCTAAAATGTCGCTTACAGAATACGTTAAGGATTAATTAAAGTTGATTTAAATATTGATAACTCACAGCGGCACTAATCCATTATACAAGTCTAAAAAAGCTGGATTATTCTTCAATAAAGCCCTTAATGGACAATGTCTAATATTATACATGTTGCAAATTACTGTATACACAAAATATGAAATAATTTATATAAAGTACAATACCAGTGTCTGGTGCATATATCGTCCTAGATATTCAAGTTGTACCGCACGCACGGAGGAATCTTGGCGTTTGTGTGATAACAGATAGCTAGCTACACTTCGACATTATTTTTCTTGATCGTTGAGTTTCAGAAATGTAAATGAAGTGAATTTTATAGCCAGTCCATAACGGGTTTTAATCCTGTGCTTTAGCCTTTTACAGTCAAAATAGCACTATTGTTTACAAAAAAAAACTAAAGATAGATGTATAGTATTTAGTGGATACGCGGATACGTGGCTACGCAGTGAGTTCAATTGAAAATGACGTAATGATAAGATAGATGTAGTATTTATTGGATACGCGGATACGTGGCTACGCAGTGAGTTCAATTAAAAATATGGTAAAGACTAAAGATAGATGTATAGTATTTAGTGGAGACGCGGATACCTGGCTACGCAGTGAGTTAAATTGAAAATGACGTAATGATAAGATAGATGTAGTATTTAGTGGATACGCGGATACGTGGCTGCGCAGTGAGTTCAATTAAAAGTATGGTAAAGACTAAAGATAAATGTATAGTATTTAGTGGATACGCGGATACTTGGCTACGCAGTGAGTTAAATTAAAAATATGGTAAAGACTAAAGATAAATGTATAGTATTTAGTGGATACGCGGATACTTGGCTACGCAGTGAGTTCAATTAAAAGTATGGTAAAGACTAAAGTAAATGTATAGTATTTAGTGGATACGCGGATACTTGGCTACGCAGTGAGTTAAATTGAAAATGACGTAATGATAAGATGGATGTATAGAATTTACTGGATACGCGGATACGTGGCTACGCAGTGAGTTAAATGAATTATGATAATGCTTTAATGAATTAAAATTTACATGCTTTAAAAATTTACTTGATTTAATAATGATAATGATTACTTGTTACCTTAACCTAAACCCTATAACTGTAACCCCAACCCATACCTAACCCCAAATAGTAAGCTGAAAACCTAGAATCCATGACATGATGTGAATGTTGCAGTACTATTGATTATATTGTTCAAGTGTAATCAATTGCTGTTGTAATAGAAAGTCTTTAATGCTCTTAGTGATAGATTTGTGGATAGACATTTTGAATTTCTCTACGTAAATATGGAACTCACAGAGTGATGAATGAGGCCATGTGGCGGAATGACTAGGTGTTTTCTTCACGAACACTTTAGTAGGCTGTGAACTCCTTGCAACGCGAATTGAAATAGTTGATCCCAAATGGGGTTTCAGTTGTTCCACCGCGTCGTCGTATTCTTGTTTTGTTGAACCACGAACAAATCTCTGTCCAGATTGGCGGAAGGTACGATAGGTGACAACTGGTCCGGGAAACTGAAGAATGGCAGTTTTAACATCGGCACACGTTGGTTGTCTTCTTGGGGCGTCGCAATTGACTTAATAAACTACAGTGAAAAAAATAGTGACTCGTAAATTTGAGGAAAAGTAAATGTATTATATCATTAAAGCTAGTAGCTATTGCTTACTAATATTATATGAACATGTTTATATTTACCTGACATATCAAATTTTTTTGAGTCTCAAGGTAGGTAACATACTTCTCAGCGCGCTGTAAGGTTTGTAAGTCAATAACAGTGGGGATGGGATCTTCATCGTGTCCAGCACTTACGTTCGTAAACGCAGCAGTGAATACATGGAGTGCAGCTGCAACACGCGGAACCAAATCCATGTGTTTTGATTTGGGTGGGATGACAGAACCGTCCTGTATTGCTTCATTGACTTCCGTGACGAAGGCGTCCTTTTTGTTCTTCAGGAAATGCTTAGCTTCATCGTGGAACTCATAAGCATTTTGTTGATTTTGTTGGCACTCGTTGATGTAGTGGAAAACTTGATTAAGGAAATCTTCAGGTTCAGTACTGAGGTGTTCCCTTGCGTTTTCAACTTCGTCTGATGTTGAGCAAAGAGCATTTGGTACAGCTAGCAGAAAGCGGTCGATCAAGCCTTGTCCTTGGTCCATTCTTGCGATTAGTTTTGCTGCATTTGGCATTTGCGTGCAGCCGAGGATAGCGAAAGGAGTGTTGGCTGGAATATCTCGGTTGCTTTCTGTGGAGTATGTGTAAGAACACGCTTCGCCGGAAAAAAGTTTACATAGTAACATCGCGTCACCGCTCGCGTTGTCTTCATCATTTTTGAGCAGTTTATTGAGGACGTCATAGATTTCAGGAGAGACAATGAAGGTTGATTGCTTCGTTGAAATGTGTTTAACCAAGCCGGAGGAAGTAGGTCTGTCAAGAATGAAGCTGCTCAATTCGTTGTCCAACAAAGATGCAAGGGGTCCCAAACAACCGTGTTGAATTGCTGACGATTTTCCAGTGCCGGGGTAACCGACAAATATCGTGTAAATGTTCATCGGTTGCTCGTGAGTAGCAGTGGCAACTCTGCAACCATTTTTCGCTGACAAGAAAGCTGTTGTTGAAAGCAGGGCAGGTACGATGTATCCAATGGAGCTATTGATGGACGAAGCTTTGTGGCGTAGAAAGGTCTCCATATCATCAGGAAAAAGTTGTTGGAAAATGTACGGGACATCTGATATTCTTTTCTGCAGCTGCGTCCATGTGACTTCGTGTTGCCGAGCAATTTTTGTGAGAGGATTTTTCGTTGCCATATCGATTATCGAAGTTACTGTATATACGTATAAGTGAATCGTTAAAGAGTCAAAGCTGTTATGGTGACAGATCTGTGAATATTTTTAGTTGAGACGCCAAAATTTGCAATATGATATGCGTGATATGACTGTTAATGCATTTATCTCAAAAGTAATGCGCATTTTAGTGTCACTTAATACCAGAGTTACATATGACAATAGATGACACTTGCATGGTTTTAAAGAGACTGCTATACTCAATAAAATATTGTTTGAATTTTCATATGGAGAAGGCGGTTCAAGTGTGCGTTAAATCTACCAAAACGTGGAAGAAAAACACCGAAACGCAAACAGTGATTTCATCTTTAGAAGTGAAAAGCGTGGGTACACAGTGTGGGGGAGAAAAGCATGACAGTTACAATCGTGAGGAAAAGTTGAAACACTGGACGTATGATCTTTTAAGAGACGAAGTTCTCAGAAGCAAAGAGGAAATCATACAATGGTGTATGGATGAAGGACTAATTGCAAAAAGTCGACTCTGCTGTCACTGTGACCTTCCAATGAAACTTGTAAAATGCGAGGACCGCTCTGATAAATACAAATGGGAATGCCGTAAAAGCGTGAATGGCAAGAGGCACAAGGTCGAGATATCAATTCGGAAAGGCAGCTGGTTTGAAAAAAGCAACATGACCCTTGAAGAAGTGTTGAAGTTTACTTATTGGTGGTGCCGTGATGTGAGACAAGAGGAAATACGACATGAGTTGAATATTGCCGCTCATACAGCAGTTGACTGGGATAGCTTTTGTCGAGAAACGTGCGAAGTTGGCTTATGGAACGCGAACATCCAATTGGCGGTCCTGGCAAGATTGTGCAGATTGACGAAAGCAAATTTGGGAAGAGAAAGTATCATCGTGGACATCGTGTGGAAGGTCAGTGGGTCTTTGGGGGAATCGAGGAGGAGTCAAGAAGAAGTTTTATGGTAGCCGTGGAAAAAAGAGACGAGTCCACGTTATTACCGATAATTGAAAGGCATATTGCGAAAGGCTCAATCATAGTATCAGACTGTTGGAAAGCGTATATAAACTTAGAAAAACATGGGTATGAACATCGCTTAGTGAACCATTCCAAAGAGTTTGTTAACAATGATGGAGATCATACGAACAAAATTGAAGGGCACTGGAGGCAGGCCAAATGCAAAATGCCATCGTTTGGTGTTCGAAAGATTGCGTTTTCTTCTTACTTAGCTGAGTTTTTGTGGCGTTACGAACATAAGGGAAAAGACTTGTTTTCAACGTTTCTTTGGGATGTTAAAAAAATTTATTGTGAATTTTGAAGTGTTGTAAAATATGTGATATAGTTGAAATTGGTTTTGAAATATAAAAAGCAAATACAGTAATATATAGATTTGTGTGCATGGTGTTAAATTTCAGTATTGTTGTAGTTTATACGCATCGTTCGTGTTTATAAGTTTATATGCATGGACATCGTTCGTGTTTATAAGTTTATATGCATGGACATCGTTCGTGTATATAAGTTGATAAGAAGATATCTTATTATTGTCGCAGTTTATATGCATCTTTCGTGTTTATATTGGAATTAGTTTTTAAAGAATGAGGCAATAAGATGTGGTATTATTGTCGTAGTTTATACATTGTCGCGTAGTTTATATATGCATCGTGTTTGTAAGTGGAATGAGGTTTTTAAAGAACGAGGCAATTATAAGATATGGTAGTTATTGTCGTAGTTTATACGCATCGTTTTTAAAGAACGAGGCAATAGGATGTGGTATTATTGTCGTAGTTTATACATTGTCGTAGTTTATATGCATCGTGTTTATAAGTGGAATGAGGTTTTTCAAAGAACGAGGCAATTATAAGATATGGTATTTATTGTCGTAGTTTATACGCATCGTTTTTAAAGAACGAGGCAATAGGATGTGGTATTATTGTCGTAGTTTATACATTGTCGTAGTTTATATGCATCGTGTTTATAAGTGGAATGAGGTTTTTCAAAGAACGAGGCAATTATAAGATATGGTATTTATTGTCGTAGTTTATACGCATCGTTTTTAAAGAACGAGGCAATAGGATGTGGTATTATTGTCGTAGTTTATACGTAATTTTCAATTTAACTCACTGCACTGCGTAGCCACGTATCCGCATATCCAATAAATACTACATCTATCTTATCATTACGTCATTTTCAATTTAACTCACTGCGTTGCCACGTATCCGCGTATCCAATAAATACTACATCTATCTTATCAGTACGTCATTTTTAATTTAACTAACTTCGTAGCCACGTATCCGCGTATCCAATAAATACTAAATCTATCTTATCATTACGTCATTTTTAGTTGAACTCACTGCGTAGCCGCGCATCCACCAAAATAATATACTGCACGTCATGAGAATTTAATCTATTGATGTTCTCCGCCGACAATTTTCCTTGCTTAACTGTCGGACCACGTATCCGCGTATCCAGTGAAATGGTAGCTACTTGATATAATATTACTAGTGGACGGGTATTCTGCAATTTAGCCGTTTACACATGTTGGCGATGTTTGGGAAATCAAAGGATCCCGTTATAAAATAAATCTTTTGTTTTGAATATCAGACAGGATACACTTCAACTATAAAGAACCATATCGTTCGTTTAATACCGTTTGATCGATCAGTCTGTGTAGAAGATATGTATGTTTCTACGGCGATACGTGCTAAACTTCGCAAGTCAGGCGCGTGTGGAGTGTTTTCCTTGCAAGTGAAATATGATCCAGCTTCTCGCTTGAAATGTAACGCAACACTTATTATTGATGACATTCAGGATAGCAGGAAGTCTTTGTCATGATCGGTACGAATTTAGAGCAGTTCCTTTCACAATCTCTTGTTGCAAATTACATTTTTATCATCCGAAATTATAACACATAAAGTTGCAATTTTCCAAACGCAACAAACAGACTCCTCTACTACCCCTCCCTGAGGTCAAATTCAATTTACCCCCAAAATCTGGGGGTTCACGTGACCAGCTCCGACCAGGGTCTTTGCTTCCCAAGAGCAAAGAGCCTGGGAACGAGGTTGGGGGGTGTTGAGGAGAAACTGGGTGGACCTTTAAATTTTTTTAACTGGGAGGGG